GGTAGATTTTAAGAAAGAGATCAGAAAAATACACAAAATTTAGAAAAAAATTGTATTTATAGTAATTGTCTCTTACGTAATAGAGTAGTCTATTTTATTAATTAATTTTCTATATGTAAGAATAACGAACGATCATGTGATAAAAGTCGTGATTAATAAAACAAAAATACTATAGTGACAAACATATAAAATGAAGAATAACTTATTTATTTCCTGCTTCGGGAAAATAATTTCAATATTTTCTTAATCCATTGCATCAGCACTACGCGCCAATGCAATGGCTTGGGGAAATATTTCATTATTCCCTGCTTCGCAGGGAATAAATAGTACTTAAAGGGTCACAGGAGTTTGAAATATTAGAAGTGACACCTTTGGTTTGTCTTCTACAAAGGCGCTCACCATATACCCGGCTCTAAGTTTCACAAGAAATAGCAGTACTTTGGTTATGCGTTAAAGAACTGTGTTTATCTATTTCTTCCAGGTCAATTCGAATTATATTAAAATGATTATTTTACTAAATTATTATATTTTTAGCTATTGAAAAAAATTAGAGCATTGTGGAGAACTTTAACTAACAAGATAAAAAATTTAACCTTTTTTATTTTTGGTAAATTATTAGAACCTATAAATAATACAGCTTCATCAGAAGCAGTATGATTATGGAAAAGCTCAAGTAAAACAAAAGAATATTACAAATTACTGTTTAAAGAAGTAGAAGAAGGTTCAGAAGAGATATATATGACAAGAATATTAAAGAAAATTTGGCCTAATGCAGATACAACAACAGAAAATGTTGCATTTGCAATTGCTATAGCTCAAACTATATTAAATCTGAATTATGAAAAAATAACTATTTCAGATACAGTTGTTAAAAAATTACTAGCAAGAAATTTAATAAGTATTTATTTATAATTAATTTAAATATATTTAAATTTTTTAATTTAATTCGAAACAATTCAAAACTATTCAAAATTATTAGGAGAAATTAAAATTTAATAGACCTTTTTCTATAAGTTCCGAAGATGTTTCAAGATCTGAAGAAAGTGAAAATAGTAAAGACAAGTCTTCAGATAAAGTTGATAAAGTAAAAATAAGTTTAAATTATTTAAATTACTTTACATAATTATTTTTCTAAATTTATAAATATATATTCAAATTTATTAGGATCAAGTTAGAAAACGTAAATTAGATTCGAACAAATCTGAAAAGGTATAATTTTTGTTATAATTTATTTTATTTAATTAAATATATTAAATTTTATAAATTGTTTTAGACTTATAAAAGGCCAAAGGTTGGTAAGTAATATTTTAACTTATTGTATATAAATTTTAATTAATTTGAATTAGTTCGAATTTGCTAAAAATAATTTTTTTTAATCCAAAGTTGTTCAAGTTGAATCGAATGAAGTTAATGAAGACCAAGACGAAGAACCAAAAGCAAGTAAAAATGATTTTGATGATGATGATTCTTTAACCTTGATGATGAAGATAATAAGGATGTTTTAGATAATAATGAGGAAGATTCGAATAATGATAAGTAAAAGTTTTTTTTTATTTTTTATTTTTTTTTTAATTGAATAATGCTGTGCTTTTTGTTTTTTATTTTTTATATATGATTATCTATAATTTAGCTTTTTTTATATGTAATTTTTAAAATTTAAATAAAATAAAATAATAAAATAATTAAACAAATTTTAATAAATTTAAATTAATTTGAATTAATTCAAATTAATTCGAATTTATCTGATATAACTTAAATTTACTCATTTTAAATATATTGCAATTATTTTGATTATTTTACTTTAATTTATATTTATACAATTATTTTAAGTTTATAAACATTTGTTGACTTGACTTTATGAAGTCTAGTGAAGTCAAATTGATTCGAATAGATTTGAAATAAATTATATTATTTTAAATAATATTACTATTAATTTTGTATTTTTATGTATTCTTTATCAAAATATTATAAAATATATTTCAAAAGTTAACTTAGCTTATTGCAAATTATTTCGAAATATTTTGAAATATTTTGAATTGTTTTACATTATATTTTGAAAAATATTTTATAATATTTTGAAAAATATTTCGTAATATTTTGAAATATATTTTGTAATACTTCGTAATTTATTTCTGCATAGACCATATTATTCTGCAATATTTCAGATCGTAATAATTTACGTAAGTTTATGTTTATATATTTTGCTGATATATGTCCTATATTTTAAAAAATCAAATCTAAAAAAAATGATTGATGCTTTACTTGATAAGCTAAATAATATTCGTAAAAAAAATAATTTAAAAAAATTACTCAGTTAATTAATGCTGCAAGTAAAGATGTGAAAGAAATTTCTTTATATAATGAATTTGCTGAAAATAATAATCCTAAAAATTTTTATATTATAAACAATACTAAAGCTAAAAATAAAGTTGTAAACGAATTATTAAAAACAAATGAACATAAAAAAATTTTATTAGATGAAAAATATAATCATTTTGGTGCCTCTTTTAAAAATAAACATTGGGTGTTAATTTTTGGCCAACTTCATGCTAAAGAAGAAATTGATATCAATCTTTTATTAAAATATACTAATGATGAATGAGTAAAACTTGGTCTTAAAAAACTTGTATTAAATAAGTAAGTTATTTTATTTATTAATTTATTTTAAATATATTTTAATTTTTTTTTGGTTAATTAGTAGAAGCTACACAAGAATATGTTAATTATTTGGATAGAAAAAAAATTTTTGATCATATTGATGATGTATGTAAAAAAATTTCTGAAATATATTGGGTAGAAAATCTCGGTCGATATTATGAAAGTGAAAAAGAAGCAATTCAAGGTTGGATGAAATCAGAAAGGTATAAAAGACAAATTATTAGTAAAGATTATATTTATTTTGGTGCTGCATTAAAAAATGATACTTGAGTGTAAGCATTTGGATATAAAAAATAATGTTTTTTTTATTTTTTTAAAGTTTTTTAGTTTTTTTTTGTTTTTTTTTATTAATAAAATTATATAAAATAAATTATAAAATAAATATAATATAAATTTAAAAAATAAAAAAATGATAATATGAAATAAACTAAGTAATAAAAATATCTTTAGAATTAATAATAATTATCTTTATGAAATCTTTTTGAACAAATTTAGAAAAATTTTTAATTATACATTTTTCATTAATTTGTTTGTACCTGATGATGGTGTTGAATTAGATCCATGGGAATTTGGTTCATATCGATTTCTTTTTTCTCTCTTGGATTAGACGAAATTAAAAAATATCATATGGAAGATATGCCCCAAACATATTTGAAATAAATTACTTTTAATTGTAGTTAGTATCATTCTTTGTTATCAATAATAAGAACATAGATATAATTATGATTAGGTTGGATTTTTAAAATTTTACATAAACTTAAATATAGCTGATTAGCAACACCAAATAACTTTAACATTCTAATCTTATTTTCGTTGACCTTGTTAATTTCACTTTGTTCAACAACCTTGATAGGTTTTAACTTACGTAAATCTAAACCCAAGCCTCTTAAAATAGCTTGGTATTTCTCAAGAAATTTTCATACTTTATTACAGTTTTTATTAGTTGCTTTTATTGTTCTATTTTTTGTTATTTTAAACATTTCAATATAATTGTTATATACTTCTTGATAAAGAAGATTGATAGTTTTAATAGTATTCACAACTTCTTCAGATATATTTTTAAAATATAATCTAATAATATTTAATATTAGTAATAAAATATTTTGTTGATTAGTTATAAAAAAAACTAATTCTTATATTTTTCGATGTACTTTTTTTATATTTTTTACTTTAAGCATTATTTAGTTTATTTATATAAAAAATAACATATCTATTTATAAATAAATTTGTAACCCCATTATTATTATCAAATCATGTGCTTATTGTTCTTATGTTATTTGCGGTATCCTCTATATTGTAGGGGCTTGACCCAATCTTGCCGTGAAATTAGTAGCAAACACGCACATAAATTATTAGCTCCCATCCGGTTAGTAAACCTAAATAACCTTGTGCACTATTTTTCTTATAGTCTGAACTGAATCACAAGGAAAAAAACAATTGCTATATGCTAACAGCAGTGGCGAGCCAGATCGGCTTACTCTGAAACTTAGCGATCGGATGCCATCTTACCATGCCATGTTATGGCGTGTCATCGATATTTCCAATTGATGCTGTCAAAGTTTTCAGTCAAACTTTGATGATGGCGATTTATTGCATGGATCATCAATACCAAAGTTCGATTAGAGTTTGCAATCACAGGTTAAAGGCAAGAGATAAAAAATAAGCAGGCAATTTAAACCAGGTATCATATTAAAAAAATTGAAGTTTATTTATTAACTGCCATCATTCGATAGCTATATTACATTTGTGTAGATCGTAAATTAACCCATTCTTAAACCAAATATTTTTTCGCATAATATTTCAAAAATAGATCCCTTGTCGGAAACAATTTAACTATCTTTCAAATAAAATTTACACTATAAAGAAGAGCATGAAGATATTTTATATATGAAATAAGAGTGTATTTATATGTTTTTATAGTAATTTTTTATGAAATTATATATTACATGTTAAGTATCTTTGAGAAGTGTTTAGATCTGTTTCGATAAACACATTCGATCATATTTTTTCTACCCATAATATGCTTATTGATTTGAAGACAGATATCCTTAGGAGCTTTGAGTTTCTGCCGCTTATCGGTGCTAACCCAATCATTTTGAAGCCATCACTTGATATGATTTTTGGCCAATATCAAAAAAATATTTTTATTTTTTGTAGTTATAACTAGCTTTTCTCATCCCGATCTTGCTCTAATATTTGAAGAATACAAATAAACTCTTCGGTATACAAATTGGTTGTACTCACAGAATTATCAAATTTTTTCTCTGCTCTAGAAAAATAGATATCGATGGTTTTCTTCGAAATATATACCAGGGTGAATTGCACATATGGTTTTTGCGAACCAAGATGGGCAAGACGATCTGCCTAGTCATTCTCATAGATACTGCTATGACCTTTCACCCAGTTGAAATGTGTTTTACCCATTCACATTTGAATGATCTTGTTTATCTGGTTTACTAAATCACAATTATCCTTGAATGAGTACATATTATAGGATTGAATCACGTATATGCTATCGGTGTTGATGAGCAAATCGAGATGAGACGCAGTTACTTCTAGAGCACGAATCACTACATACAACTTGGCATGATTATTTGTTTGTTGTGGACTAGGCAAATGTTCCGATAAATTGCATGAGTTATCATTAGCAAAGAATACACCAATTCCAGCTGTTGAATTCAAAGAACCTAAATATGATTTTGCCTGTTAATTGTTTTAAAATTATTACAACATCTGTCGGTTCACATGTTTAAGATACTATGTGGATCAATCATCTCGATAAATTCTTTAGCTTGCTGCTTTGAAAAGAATTTCTTATACAAAGCACCAGAGTAACCATCTATTTGTTTTTTATACTCATTCCAAGTGGTGTATATACCTGGCTTGTGACTAGCTCAAATCGCATAAAACCCTAATGTCAAGTGATATTGTATGAAAAACATGCTTGTGGCCAGTCATCATGAGGAAAATAGCGTACAAGGGTAATTTAGATTTATCAACTGGATGGGAGGAGTGAGGTTAATACAAAGTGAAAAAAATGAATGACCAGACGATGCACGGTTGGAGCCCCTCACCTTTAATATTTCTTCAAAAAAAATATAAATTATGTTTAATGAAAAAACAAAGTTTATATAGTTTTTAAATATGATAAAAATTATGAAGCTATTAAATTGTATTAATATAGAACAATAATTTCCCGGTTGATAATGAAAAGCGGTTGCCGGTTTCATCTGTGGAAACTGGCAACCAAAACTTTATTTAAAATAGAAAATGAAACTTAATTTAAAAAATAAAAAAAAATAAGAAACGAAATTTTTAATGTTAAAAATACATGAGATGGTCTCCCATTAACTAGCACTCCTCGCAGTGAGTGTGAATTTGAAGATCTTTGATACTACTGAAGGAGGTGAGGGTGGAGCGTCAAGAAATGCATTTATTTCTATATTCACACTCTTGATGAGAAAGGTAGTAATGGTCAAATTTGATGCAGTAGATAAACCGGCACAGTTGAAATAGTTAGATTTCCCGTAATTCGGTAGGTTAGCTACAGGAAAGAGAAGAAGAACCCCACCTTGCAATTCTCTTTGGAAGAATTTGAATGGAAATAAGCGTCAATAGTTGAAAGGGAAAAGCTTGCATCATGACTATTTATCATTGACAAATTTGACCCAAATAAAATATTTTTGCATTTTCATGCTGAATTTAATTGGTAAGAATAATTATATGTTTTAGATGGAAGAAACAAACACTCATCATGCTCCTCAGTTATATAGTAGCATAGAGTGTACATGTTAAAAATTTGCAAATAGAACTCATGCCATTTTCTGGCTACATATTTTAGTTGCTGGAAATAGTAAAACTCCTCATCCAGAATGAAAATCAGAGGTTTCAAGTAGAGCAGAATCTCGTGAAAAAGCTCAGACAGTAGATCATCAAATCGATTTGGCCTAGTAGAACATGTGCTCCTGGATAAACGTGGTATTGGTATCAAGTTTCTTGACAATTTCAACAATCACAAGAATCTCACAATCACGTATATACTCAATGGATACAGCATATGTGAGGTTTGGTAGACGTATAGATGTGCTGGCAGATGATGTGGCTCTAACACGATTAGAATACATTGTTATCAACTGACCAAAAGTCGAAGGATCAAACTCGTATTTTTTAGATAGTTAAACAAGAAAGAAGATTGCTGGTTTCATTCGTAAAAACTGGCAATCTCAACATAGTCTCTCATAAATGTAATATTCTTATCAAAAATGATATACTTAAACCACATTTATTGTAATATGATATTTTTTTAAATAAAAATATAACAGTTAAATAACAATAAAGTTGATATATAAAATTTTAAATTAAATAACAATAAAATTAATATATGAAATTTTAAGTTAAATGAAATTAATATATATTTATATTTATATTAAAAAAAATAATCAGGTACTTATTACTCCTTCCAAATTATGAGACGGGAGAATTGCATATCAAGTATTCGCGGGAAAGTGAAATAGCAAAACTTGCAAAGCTTATAAAGGTACAAGAGGGAATAACTAAGCACGTCCATCTTGAGGTTCACAGAACGCAAAGAACAACCAGGAATCTGGCACCTGTTAAAGATCAATGACATGCGACAAAACATCATCCCCCGACAATGGTTACATCGTTCCTTTTCAACATCCTGACATCTCATACAGATCAACTGCTCAGACCTGTTATAAGGTGAAAAACACTGATAGAAAAATTTCCTGCATGTTGAACTTGCTTGGTGAATCAAGCTTGGATCTTACAATAGGTATTTTGGCATCTTTCACAATGATTGCAAGGCTTTCTTTGATCACAACTATACATGGGGTGATATATGATACACAAATGGCAAGAAAGGTTCTCAAAGGTTACATAATGAGGTTGCCCTGTTCTTCTCACAATCTGAAGCAATATGAAATTATAAAGAAACAGTTTTCGACAAGCAATATCATTCTTGCTAATCCAAACATCTCAAACAGGATTCGGATACATGTAGTGTGCATATATTTTATAAATGTGCTTACAGGTGAATGCATAACATAAGATATCATTGTAATAGAGCAGATCAAAAATCCTGTGATAGATCATGATGGGAATTCTCTCCATTTTAGTGAAGAAAAAAACAAAAAAATAAATATATTTAAAGTTATAACAAGCATGCTAATAATCTTGTTCGTTGAGAAAAATTATCACAGGATGCTTGAATCTTGGCCAACCAGGTTGAACTTGAAGGATGTAGCTGAGCGAGGAGTCCTTTTTGAAACAATTTTCACAAATGTAATGATAATGACCAATAGGAGAAGAGTACAAGGTGCAGCTTAATGTAGAAGAGACAAAGATCAACTCACAGGAATCAGATGATTGGTGACAAAAATGGCAGGAAGTTGCAAATATATCTTTGAGATTTTTTAACGTGTGCTTAAATACATATCTACCATACTCCTCCAAAAAATTCTTACAATAGATATTAGCACATGAAGTTCTTGAGTACAAAATTTATTTTTGTTTTCGGGAGCTGTTTAGACAGAAATTTACATATCGATTATATATCAAAGATTCAAATAATAGAACCTTGATAGTTCGATAAGAATGGTAAAAATAGAAAACATGCTTCTGGGAGTTCAGATAGAGATAGAAATACGCAGTGTTGAAGAAACGGAAAATGCGACGAATCTTGAACATCTCATATTTGGTCAAGTAAGAAAAGATCATATACCAAATCTCATGTGAAAAATTCATCATTGCAAGAAAAAATACATCAATAACCATATGAATAGTAAAAAGAATCACTATTTATGCAGTTGTGCATATTATTGTTGTTTATTTATTAAATATTTACAGATATACAAATTAAAATAATTAGTTAAAGATAGAAAAATATAAATTATTTATCTTTCGATTGGGGCGAAAAATAATAGTTGATACGCGATTTCTTGGATGCAAGAGCCTAGGAGAATGACGATTTATGCTTCTCAGAAAAAATGCTACCAACTTGGAACGGGATAGAGTTAACATGAAGAGTGAGATCCCTGTTTAGCTTGGACTGCTTGAATTTGTCAGAAATTTCTCAATAAAGAAAATCAATTATTCTTTCAGCCTGCAAATCATCATAGCTAAAGATACCGGTACAAAGATCCTTCAGAGTCTTGAAATAATAGAGAAGATCAATCTTTTGAGTCAAAGGGTCATAATCTAAAACCATGCATATCTTGTGCCTTATTCGAGCTTTAGGGTCAGGATACTCCAACACATAGTAGTAAAAATAACCCGGATTGGTGAATTTCTTCTCAATCTTACACCTGGCTACAAAATTAATGATCATCTTATTCCCTTTCTTGATGGTCATATATCTGTTATTTCAATAGTCAAGAACAGACAATGGAGCATATGTGGGGTCATACTTCCTATTCAATATGAAAAGATTAAGATCATGTTGAGAAGTTCGAATGTAGCAGATCAAAATGTCAAGGATAACCTGCTTGGAGTCACGAAACTTGCTTATGATAAGATGATTAGAGTCGAACTCTAATATAGACCAAATCATTTTCTCTCCAAGGGTCTTGTAGAACTTGGAAGTGCTACGCTTGATCAACTTGAGGCCTTTCAGATAAAGTTTTGGGCTTTCAAAAGATGGTACACGTTCGTGGATGATGCTACATTAATGCTTCTTCTTGAAGAATCTGGCATAGCAAAGTATCTTCTTGTAGACAAAAGTGATATAATACTTTCCATGTTGTCATAGATGGCTATTCACAGATTGTTCGAGTTGCTCAGAAGCTATCAAAGTTTGTTTGATATTTTCTTCAAGACGTTGTGATAACGATTCAAATTCAGAAGTTAGCTCGTCAAGACGAGACTTGGAAAGAGTAAAGAAGAAAGAGTCAGTGTCCCTGTAAACCACATGGTAGCCCTGATCCCTCACATAATCAATGGTCTAATGTAAAGTGGATCTACAGAAAGCAGTGATCGAAGGGGCAACATACTTGTTGTAAATAGATGAGTAGGGATAGCCGCTTGTACTGTAGATAGAGTTGGCTATCAGCTTGAGCATATTGGAAAGCGCAGTATAGTACAGTAGCAAAATAGTATCTTGTTTATACTGCTTTATCTTCTTCTTGACCTCAGAACGCTCCTTCAACAATTGCTTGCACATAAAGACCATCAATCTCATCTCTGACTCCTGATTATAATGAGGCAAGAATTTACAATATACCCTTTCATGATCGGTAACTATGATCAAAGAAGAATCAGTAAAATCAATAAGAACACAGGTATCATTGGATATGTTGTTTTGTATGATCGCTGAGGAGTAAAATGAAGCAACAAAGATCGGCCACGGGTTGAAATTCATCTAACAGAGATGTGTTATCAGGATACAAATTGTTGACCTCAAGGACCAATGCTCCCTCATACTTGTCAGATATCTCAATGATGCCCTTACATATCATAGACATGAGCATGTGATGACAGGAAGTGTAGCAGACGTAAAAATTAGTGATCACAGTACTCACTGTGTTGGTGAAAATGTTTGATATGGTGAGGCAAGATAGCTTGGCAATCTGAATATAATCTCTGATTATATTGTGTCGTATTATGAGCTCTTGTAATCACAAAGAATCTACCAAACAGTAGAATACCATATCAACAGCATATCTTTCAAGAGTTGTAGTATCTATACAAAAAGATGCCAAACACATTTCCTTAGATATCTTGCAAAGTTTTGAAAGTTTTGCAGATAGGTTGGCGATGAGAGATTGATCATCTCGGAAAAGGATAGAAATAACATACACAAACATGGATCTCGTGTCATCAGATGATTCCTCAGGAATATATGGAAGATTGATCTTCTTTTCCAACCAGCATTTCTCAAGCACGTGTGCCAACGTGTGTTTTATCTTGGTCTGGAATGTTTTTCTAGCCCAGACCAAGAGATCAATATTTATGGTACCCTGGATGTAGAAATACTCATATGTCTGACACTCCAAAAGATTAAGCTTGATTGCTCGATTGCTCAAATTCAACCTAGCAAACTAATATTTCTGCATCTTATCATCAAGATCGATATCTATAACCCGAATATCAGTCTTACGAACATTTGCATAAAATTTAAATTTCTGGCCCAAGATTGTTTCATTAAATTATTCATGAATACCCAAATATTTTGATTTGTTTAACATGAATTACCAATCAAAACTGCTCCTGTTGTAGCCTATCTCAAAATCGGGTTGGTACAAGCCATATAATTCAGCAAACTTTAGCAAAAGTTCTTCCTGACTGTTTAGTTTTAAAAATATAAAAGTCTCTGAATTATATGATACTTGTTCAGAGTACAAGGAGAAGAATAATGATGGATTTATATCAAAGAGAGAGAGGTTGTAATGTCATAATAGTTTGGATTGATTCAACAAGAATAGATCAAGCTGGATCATGTAAATATAATTATTATCCTCTTCAGGTACTGAAAAATTGCCAGGACCATGGGTGCTCACATACTCTATATCTTAGGATAACAGGAAAAGCTTAGAAATCTCCTTCCTGTCTAGAGATTCTATGTCAGAAAAATCCATAGTCATCTGGCTAGTCAATGTACCAGTCAAAGAGCCAATACCAACCCACTAGCTTAAAATCATGTTTATATGCCACCTTTCAATAGTAGCAGCTAAGATCATTGAAATAAGTGTTGTAGCAATCCCAAAATTCTTATATAGATTGACAAACCTTAAGCTCCTCAGTTTCTAGTCAGTTGATATCTGTTTTTACTCTATACAATTTTTTTTTCTGAACATTGGTTTCCTATAATCGATTGTTTAGCTTATCTGATCAGTTCTTTATCTCCTGCAAGGCCTTATAATAAGCATTGTGATTCTCAAAATAGAGATGAAGAAAATCATATTTATGTAGAGAATTGGAAGATTGACACTTTATGGTCTCATAGCTAGCTGGTTTAAATTCTTCCAAATAAAAGTCAATCAATGAAAAGTTCTTTAACTTGATATTGAAAAAAATATCAGGTTCCTTTACATCGATAAATATCTTTTGGCCATTGGTATGAACAGTATAGAGATGAAGCGTATACTCTTTATAACAAAAATCTCACGCATCAATCACGTCGTAAACAAAAAATAAATTCAGATCAGTCAATAGAAAATCTTTGATTAGCTGTACATGAAGAGATATTGTTTACAGAAATAAATTTTTATTCAGTATTAGAAATACTGAATAAATTATATATTGATAAATAGATAAAATAAAAATTTAAAAAAAATAGGCTATTTGAAAATTTTATTAAATGTATGCTGTGTTGCTTTAAATTTAACCTCTAATTGAAGCTGATGATCTACAATACCTTCCATATTGGAAACGAGTAGTTGGGATAGTTAGAAGAGAAGGTATCTGCATACACCTGCAAATAGTAGACACCAGGGTAGTTCTTCCACAACATAGTAGCATATTGTTTAAACTTGTGGTTCAGCATATGTAAAAAAGTATAATTTATAAGCTTAATCAATGTTTTTACATACAGAGGTTGATCATGATTAGATCGCGAATGGTACAAAATTTTTACATGATTGTTAAAAAATATCACCTCATTATGACATAACATATTAAGTTTTAACTCGTCCTAATCATAGGTTGACATGATAATTAAGGATTTATGTAAAAAAAAAATTAATCAGTTAGAAACTGAATAATCAATTTTGTTTATTGTTTAATTTTGTAATTTGATCATAGTTATAATACATGTTTGGAAAAAATAAAGAAAAACTAAATGAGTTGCTCAAGAAAAAGCTAATAACATTTATTAGCCTTCTCTCTCTTGAGGGGATCTTCAGATTCCAAGTTATAATTCGAATCAAAAACTATTCGATCTGAATAGAGCTCAGGTGCAAGATGATCATACTCCTGGCTAAGCTTCCTTAGATAGTCAGGCATGTAATTTTTGTCCTCACGCTTACGATTCTGCTGATGTTTAATACAGGTTTCAGGATTACAATGAATATGAATATAGTAATTGGCCTTGAGGAGCGGAATTAGGTCATTCTTCTTATTAAGATATTCAATCTTTAGCAGATCATCGATATTGAGATTGGTGAAGATTTTAGTATTCAAGTTAGTTCATTCGATAAGCAACACATCATAATGAGCATGTATCTGTTCAATCATGCCCATAGATTCGGCAAAAGTCTTGACAATAAGATCCTAAAAATAAAATGCATATTTCTTCAGATTCGAATTAAACAATTTAAAATCCTCATATAACTGCAACAAAGGTTTAGTAGGAAAATAGATGAAGAGACCTCAACCCACGCAATTCTCTCTAAGCATGGTTGAGAAACGAGATTTGCCAGCGCCAACAGATCCAAATACTACTATAACCTTGCCGAGTTTTTTTGGCCTATAAGTTAGCTGATTGTTAAGTTTTTTTTCTTTCAAAGTTGGTAGGTCAGTTAAATTGATGATTTTACCATCATCATCATTTTTTTTTTGTTTTTTATAGAAAATTGTTTGTGAAAATCTGAATTCTTTCTCTTAACAGTTTCTTTTCCTTTACTCTTCTCCTGTTTTGAGATCATTTCACATAATAAGGTATTAATGAATTGGTCAAAAAGATCTTGCTCATTTATATTGAATGCTAACAGGATAAGAGACCTTCCCGGTGCAAATACAGCACTGAGCAGACTTAGTAAAGATGAAATTGTTGCTTTTTTTTTATTAAAATCCTTTTAATATTTACATTTTTCGCTTTCATCCCAAACATGTCTAACGATGAAGCATTTAATTTTTTAAACTCAATAAGATTACTTGGATCATCAATTGTATTAATTTGGTTGAAATAATTTTTTATATCTGAAACTAAACACTTCTTATTTGATATTACCAAATTTTTTCCATTGTCTTTATCCAAGTAGCCACCTGCTTGGTCAATAAATTTGTCGATTTCATACAATCACTATCATATACAATTATTTCCAAAGAATCATCAGGAAACTTGGAAAGGGTTGCTTTAAAATCCTTTACATATTTTAACAAAATCGACAATTCGATGGATTTATATTGAATTATAATAATCTTCTTTTCATAGTTTGCGATGATATCAACACCCTCATCACCCTGCCTCACTTTAACCCCATATGATAAAATACCATGCTCATTCAAGATCTTGGCAATAATGGCTTCAAAATCGTGACCAATCTTGTGATTTGAATTCTGGATTAAATTTTTTTTTAAAAAAAATAGTTAGTGAGAGATTTCTATTCATCTCAAGTAGTAGCTGACTTCACCGAAATGTAACTCGCAGACCAGCTTGGTTTCCATTGGAAATAGAATCCATCTTCGCATTTCTCGTAGAAAGAAATATCCCAGAATGAATTCTTTCCAATTTGAGACAGCGTAACTTCAAAATCTTATATTCACTAAGTAAAAGACATGGCCATCCTACCTTTTCTAGAGTTGTTATCATTAATCAATTGTATATAGCTAAAAATCTATTTGGTCAAAATTATAACTGAATAGCTCAATGATAATTGCTTACAAGAGTTAATTAATTATTTTCTATCCTCATCTTCTTTGCAATACATCTGATCGAACCTATATTAAATACAACATCCTCAATAACAATTTGCGGCTTTTTATTAACTACTATTTGTTTATCTTGTGAAATTCTTTTTAATGATGTTGATAACGTAAAAATTGAAAATTTGGTACGAGTTGTTAATGATCGAATTGGAAGTCCAGTGATTTCTGGATATTCAGATAAAGTTCTAGCAGTTGATGAAATTTGTGAAGCCAATTGGGCTTGAGTGGTTGCCGCAATAGAATGGATTCTGGAAGTCGTGAAATCTGTAGTTGTCATGATAGGATGGATTCTGGGAGTCATGGAATCTGTGGTTGCCGCAATAGGATGGATTCTGGGAGTCATGGAATCTGTAGTTGCCACAATAGGATGAATTCTGGGAGTCGTGAAATCTGTGGTTGTGGAATCATATGATTCCCAAATATCACAGTGTTTAAACCTAATATGTTTCTTAATAGTATCTGTTAAATATGGATTAAAATATTTTTTCTCACATATTTTACATTGAATAGACGAATCGTTAATAGATTCCCGCAAATTTTCGGGGCTTGATCGGGGTTTTAAAACTCCGACTAAGTGACCCAATTCGGGTTCTTTTGAGCAGAATTGGTTCAAAGAGACCCAAATTGGGTTCTTTTTAGCCAGAATTGGTTCAAAGAGACCCGAATCGGGTTCTTTTGAACCAGGATTGGTTCAAAGAGACCCGAATCAGGTTCTTTTGAACCAGGATTGGTTCAAAGAGACCCGAATCGGGTTCTTTTGAACCAGGATTGGTTCAAAGAGACCCGAATCGGGTTCTTTTGAACCAGGATTGGTTCGAAGAGACCCGAATCGAGTTCTTTTGAACCAGGATTGGTTCGAAGAGACCCGAATCGGGTTCTTTTGAACCAGGATTGGTTTAAAGAGACCCGAATCGGGTTCTTTTGAACCAGGATTGGTTTAATAATATTAAAGCCCGGTGCTATGCTCCGGGTTAGAGACTAGTTGCAATATAAACGCGAACACTCAAGATACATAATTTCAAAAAAAGCATCTAAATATTTCACTACATACATCATATCCGGCTTCCTTCCTATTTTTCCTTCACCTTTTCTGTCAGAAATAGCAATACTTTGTCGTTCACATATGCTGATAAATGAAGATAACCCAAAAGGCAAATTTTTTAGTATTGTTCTAATTAACAAAAAAATAACTGTTGATTGATAGGTTCCCTCATTCAGGGATTCTGCAAGATTAGAATTAAATGCAGGATTAACCCAAATTTCTTCTAAAATGATAAAAACTTCCTTTACAATATCTAGAATTTTTTCTTCTGATTCTTTCCAAGTTTTATTGTGGGTTAATTTTTCTGGTAATAAATTCTGATAATTGCGGTTAATAAAATTTGATATAAACTCCTCGCACATTCCCCTAACTCTTAGTATAGAAGGAGGCTTCATATTTCGTTCTATTTTCTAATAATTATAGCAATAGAAATTAAATAAAAGAACTAAGGTTCATAAGTATCATTACTTTATAATAAATAAGAAATAAGTCATACCTCAAATGCTTTTTTGTAATTCGTTTTTAAGTTTTCTACAATCTTTGATTTATTACTAATAACCTGGCTTGCTAATGGATCTTTCCAAGTTAATTCATTAATAGGGTAAGAGCTTACAGCCGAATATTTGATAAAGAGCAGTATTATCTTTTTTGAGCTTGTCTTTTAATAAATTTATATTTTTTTCGATTTTATCGGAATCTAAAGGCTTTTCTTTATCTGACTTGATCGCCCCCATATCATATAAACCACTAACCCCCTCAAAGGCATTTTCAAACTAATAAAATAAATATAAAATGCGTTAGATTTCAGGAACATAAAAATTTTTTTCATCATTAAAATAACGCTGATTATCAGTGCATATGCAAAGTTTAACATCGTTGTGTGGCCACCACGCGGATGAAACTTTGTGTGATACTAGATAGCTTCATACCAACTTATATTTTACTTCACTCCTCGTCATGGCAATAACCTTTTCACATAATAGGTTTGTAGAGTGAACTATAAACTGCATAACAGATTATAGCGTATTCACCCTCTATTATGCGCAAGTATTTATCGGCAAGCGAGCTAAACGAGTGAAAGAAATATAAGCCTAACAAATCAACTTCGGATTCATTTATTCAGTATTTTCAAAAGAAAATAGATCACACAATATCATCATCATCATCTATAGGTTAAAGTCTAATAAAAACCAACCTGCGATAAAATTTGAGAAATTCTTAATCGACGAGAACTTTCCATACGCACATTGCTGGTAGATTCGACGGCACGTTTTACAGTTGCTTTTAATTCACTCTGCTAAATCCAGCGATCTTTTTTCATTCCAAGATAAACAACTGATATAGCATTTATCTTTTTGTTTTCAGCAGTTGTCAAAAAATTGTAAATCTTGTTATATAATTCGGTAGGCATTTTTAAAAATAATTTTGAAAGTAAAAAAAAAGTAGTTTAGAAATTGCAAGAAACGGAATTTTTAAAAATAATTTTGAATGTAAAAAGTAGATTAGAATTGCAAGAAACAGAATCACTATAAAGCGACAAATAACCATAACTTCGAGATACTGCCCTTTTATATGTTTTTCTTTCATCTCTTCTTTGAAACTCGAAATGTTGGAAAGGTTAGGCAGAAGCAAAAACATGCACTCTTACATCAAAAATTTCTACGATAGAAGTTGAGACATGTATTTCTACGCAGAGAAATTTCTATCGATGATGCAAAAGAATTCTATAAATTATGTAAATGTATGCAACATGAGTTATAGAGCCATGTAGGGTATGTGTGAATAACCCAGTTACACACGGGTTCATATTCCGTGCCGAAGGCACGGGATTTAAATATGAACCCGTGTGTGTAACTGGGTTATTCATATACCCATATAACTATCTTATTGCACGGTGTCTGACGTAACAATCCCGTGCAATAACCAAATGAAAAAAGCACGGGTCGTCACATAACAAAGTAAAAATACAATACAGCATTACATGTTATATAATATCGATATGATTGGTAAATGACTTCAAATGACCTTCGAAATATCACATGGTCATGATAGTTTATACGTTAAAGTACTAACAAGCAAAATTTTCCATCTTTACTAAAAATTAAAATATCTATTTTAAGTCATATGGATTCAATAACTTAGGTAGTTATAAACCAAAAAAATTATAAATTTGAACACTTCATATGATTTTTTTTTATTTAAAAGGATCTTTAAGATGAATCGAATTAAAATAAATTATTATGACACATATTTAAATGCTAGGAACAGGCTTGAATATTTTTCTCAGTTATGTCATAAAAATAATTGCGCATGATTTTAATCACTATGACTGAATAATTATGAAATTATATCGTGTTGATTAGCAAATAATACTGTATTTAAAACACTTTGATTTTACTCATGATTCTCATGATTAGAGACTTCTCATCAGACAAAAAAAAAAAAAAAATGAATTTGATTTCACGTAACTCATCAGGAAAACAAATTTCGGCTTCTGATCTTGGATGGTTTTTTGTGTACAATTATTACGCAACTCTTACAACTAGACCGCGCGATCTTTACCTTTATTATGGACACAATAGCAGATTTACTCGAGGTGTTAATGGAAATGACACAGTGTCGCAGGTGGTCGGGCAACAAGTACGAATTTTGTCGTTATATCACGTGATTAATGTTTTTCAAAGACATCTTATTAATGCTCGACGTGAAATAGGCCATAAAACAATTATTTTCTCAACTTCATTTAGAAAATAGCCGCGCAGACATCTCGTCTGTTGACACGCAGCCTTCTTCACATAGAGGATTGTTTGTTCAAGTGATTGGGTCGATTTATAATTATGATTCTCAAGAATTCATGACTGTTGCTGACGATAATCCAGAAGATGCAGCCATAACTGATTCTTCACCTGACTGCATTTCTAGCAAAAATAAGCATTTCGTCCAAACATTTTTTCTTGTTCCTTGGGAAAATGGGTTTTATGTATTGAATAGCGTTTTAAGATTTTTAAGTTGAGTAATACATTTGTGTGAACGAACTCTTTTGGGTATACATTCAATGTAGCCGATAATACATTTAATAGTGAACTTTTGATTTTTTAATTTTTAAGAGAATCTGTTACCTATGTCATTTGAATATTATTAATGCACCATCTACGCTAAATTATCTGGTAAAAGTATTGACTTTTTCCTTTTTTTTGGGGAAATATGTACATTGTGCATAGGTCACTTTCTCAAGCTTGGCGTGATATCCAAGTACGATTGTTAATCACATCTCTGGTTAAATCGATAATCTCTGATAACGTGATATTGTCGCTAAATAGATTAATAGTAGATCAGATGCGCAAAACATTCGTTTTTGATACACCTGCACCTACTTTTTTGATACTGATCGACATGCAGATCCCGGTAAAAAATAAA